TCCTCGCACACAGAACACTGAGCTCCAGCCCCTTCAGTTCGCTTCCTGCTGCCATTTCCTGTCGCAAGCCTAAAATGAGAGACTTTTACAGACAGCTCGTTGCAATAGTTGGTAGTTGGCGTAATACAAGGTGGCAGTTATTTTTGTCATGACATCCCAGCATAATTTGGGGAATATTCTTTATTTTCCAGGTATTTCTAGGGAAAAATGTACATATCTGTAGTGCTGTGTAGCAGAGAAGTAAAAACTGTGCATTATTGTCCTTAGAAGCACGTTGCATTTCGGGCACAAATATGAACAGTTCTCCATTTCTCTGCATTGCTAGTAGTGAGTGAAGAATTGCCTACAAGACTCAGAGGAAACTGAAATCAGTTTTGTGTCCGCCTGAGGGATAAAACCTAATTTACAGTTGTGAGCCCCAACAGCAGTTTCCTCAGTTTTGTAGGGCAGACCGACTGCCGCCTTCTCAGCACCCGCTTCACGGCAGACACTGATCCAGACCCCAGATTCAAGGTGCACCCAGATTTTGGAGTCTGTGAAACAATTAACAGGAGAAAGTCTCACTACACAAAGGTACCTGCACAACGGTTTTTGGAAAAAAAAAAGAGTCTTGCTGCTCTCATCTTAAACACTGGACAAGCGAGCCAAGTCAAGGAGCTCTGCCGAAAGCTATTAGATGCTTATCTGCACTGCTGCTCTCGCCCCCGTCGCTACTAGCAGAGTTAAAACTGGTGGCAAAAGTGGGAAATCGAATACCACTTGCTAGCACAGACAAGGCCTGTGAGCTGTTAAAATGAAAGTCAAAGAAAACCATGTTTCCCCTGTGAGCTGGTGCATCTTCCTGCCTTCACCGAGGTGCGATTCTGTCACAGGCTCCCCGGGGCAGCGTCGCGCGCTGGAAGAGGGCACAACAATGGCAGGGTCGCGCCAGCGAGGCACTACCCGCCCACCGGGATGTTTATTGTGGCTTATACTTTGCTTCTGAGCAGCTTATCAGTGCTTTTTGCAAGGCACTGTGCAGATCGGATCTGCAGCGAGCGAGCTCCCCGAGGCGAGCGCAGGATCCACCTCCTCCTTCCACCCGGTGACATTTCTAATTGATAAATCAGGCTGCAGAACTGGGCCTTTTTGTTCTACATTCATGCAGCCTCATGCAACAACAACTAAGCGTGGACATGGTAATGATAATTAAAAGTTGCCTACAGTTTATAAAGAGGAAAACTGGAAGTCACAGGTGCATAAGATCCCAATTTTCAGGCAGACTGGGCCATTCATTAACCTCTGACAACCCAAGCACAAAAGCTTAATTCTCAATGTGCTGCAGTCAGCCAGAGTCAGATCAGCTCCTGCGTGGTTTGCATACCCAGCTCAGCGCCTTAACCTTCCTCACCTAAAGATATACCTATTAAAGAAAGCAATCTTCACTTAAAAGCACTTCAGGGCATAACTGTAAGAGGTATCACTGCATTATAAAATGGTGCATGAATACGCAGAGAACAAGCTCGACTCCCGTATGGAGCAGCATCCTCCAGATAATCCACTGCAAACTACACAGACTTCTGATTCAGGCCAAAGATTTGACTCTGGGCCTCACATCCTCTAAATTTCACTTCTGCCAATCATTTATTCAAAGTCCAGCAGACTGAGACTGCCTGCAGAGACCAAGGGGTGGCGGGGGAGGCAGGATATGGAACACCATCCTGCAAATCCCTGCTCCAGGCTGGGCACTGCCGCTGGGATAAGTCATGCCTCTCCACTACCAGGAGGTAAAAAAAGAAGAAAAAAAAAATGCAGTTTCCCCAGCAGTGAATAAAAGCTTTAGATTTAGTGTGGAAAATGTTGTTGTTCTTTTTACTTTCTAACATCTATTCCAGCCAGAGCCTTCTCTGCTCTTATATGGAAATAGGGGCAGGGCGTTTTGGATGTTTCCTCGAAATGGCATTAAGAGCTACCTCCTTTTAGTGTATCATCTCCTTTAGTTACTGCAAAACATTCTTGGGGCAGGTACCATTGCGGGCTGCCAAGCGTGTTCCCATGCACCTTCACGATTCGCTGACATCGACGGAACAGTGGCAGCACAGTGGGAAGGAATTAATACACGGGCTTAAAAGGAAATAGAGAGTGCCAAGAAAATTGCTCTGACTGCAGGCTCATCTGAACCTTCACAGTTCAGAGGCCCAGAGCCTTTCATTCTTGGTGCAAAATAGCATGGCTTGCTGGTGCTGTGGGAAGAAACTGGGCCCCACAGCATGCTTTTCTTCCCCCACGTCACCAGCTGATGCCCACATACATTAATTTTTGGCTCAATTCTTACTTTTTGCCAAAAGCATTACCCCATAAATCATGCACATGCTGTTCACTTGGGCAATGCGATTTTTTAAATCCCTTGCAAGTCACTGGATACATCGCTTGAGCTGCCTCTACCTTAGTTTACAGACAGAAAACTTAGGAGCAACATGTTTTCCTAACAGCACAAAGGGAACACTAAGTTTACATAAACCAAGCTGCTGCTTTTTCATACTGCAGAGTCCTTTGTCTTGCTGAAATCAGCAGGAGTAAAGGATGGCAGAATCTGGCCCCTCATATTTGCAAAGCACTTTTTTGATCCCTGGACATTTTTATTACCCTTGCAGAGCGGAGTATAAAAATCAAGCCTAATGAAGGGTAAATTAAACAAGTCCAGACCATTTACAAAGAAACAAATGTCCGTTTGCAAAAGCCTTAGAAAGTCCAATAAAATACACATACTGCTTAGTGAGGTGAGGTGAAATGTCTGCACGCGTATAATATTAGAGAAGAAACAATTCAGCTCTGAAGAAACAGGTAACTAACTACAGCAGAATGCATTTGTTTGCGTTCCCTCCTGTAAACAAGAAAACCTGGATTTCTGCTGCCCACCTTAACCATTAGATCATGCTAAGCATATTTTCTAGGGTCAGGTATTCTTTGAGTTAGAAATCAAGTGATGGTTATTATAGCATGCCATTACGAAAACAATAAAGAGAGCTCAGCAAAGGCAGGAAAGGTGATGCTAGGCAACTAAATAACTCCCAGTAACCATTCTTTATTCAGATTATTGATATTCAACCAACACCAGGCAGGGTTTGGGACCATCTTGTACCAGCTCTGTGCAAGTCCAGCAAATAAGTAGACAAGATGAAAAGAGAAAAGAGGGAATCTACAATCTGCCACTCATTCCTCCTTTCACGGTTACTCAAGAGCTAGCAAGATTATCTGAAAACTTCGGCAGAGTATGTTTTAAAAGCAGCAGCTCTACCGGAAAAAAAAGTAGCATTAGGCTGTACATTTCCCCCCCCCCAGCCTTCTAAAGAGAAGAAAACACATTTGCCTGTAGTTCACATCAATAAAAAATGTTCATTTCAATTATGATTTCTACAGTAGTGCTCCTTAAACATGAGATTAAAAGAGCAGAGAGGAACACGTAACAGTCATCCCATTTCTTTGATAACATATCCTGTTCCTGCTGATTCTCGGTGTCTGTATTCTTGTGAACTCACCCCATGACATGACTTTGATTTACTCTTCAACAGTGACTGAAAGGCCAGTAATGTAAATATTTGCTCCCAAGTCTAATTTTACTCACATGGTTAAGTCAAGCGATTTGGTTTTACTTACATGAACTTGAATGGGATTACTCACTTGAGTAGTTACTCATAAGCACAAGCCTTAGGATGGGACCAAGAGACACAACAGCACTACAGATTTGCCTTATCCCATTAGGGACAGTTAGAAAAAAAACTGCCTTACCTGACGTTTTCTCTGTGAACACCACCTTGGACTCTGCTGTGAAATTTTGTCCGGTGAGGATCATCTGTTGTCCTCCATAAACGAGGCAGCTATCAATATCTTGTCTTTCAACCATTGGAAGTTCATGGGCAGACCTTTGGGCTGTGGACAAATTGTAGAAATGAATGAAACCAACTCTGTTTTACCAGGACTTTCCAAATCTTCCCAGAACTATCCACAGATCGATCTTGTCATCGTTACCGTCTGTTGACTGCCAAGGCAGCTTCTCCAGGGTGCTAAATTTAGGTTTGAGAGGGAAAAATAAACTTACTCAAGGCATTTTATTTGGAAACATTCAGGAGCTGGCTGCAGTGCTTCAGCTGTGCTGGCCTTACTCCTTGTCCTTGAGAAAGGACAGCTTGGATGAATGAGCTGGAACTTGACCATCTCTGTTTCCAAATAAATGGCCAAATTTTCAAGTGCAGGCACACTACAGCCCTGGCGCCCAAAAATTCCACCTGCAGAGAGGATTCCACTGAATAACACTGAAGTCCTCCAGAAAAAAAAAAAAAAAAGCAAAACCCTTCTACAAAAGCCCACCACCTCCTACAGAAGAGGCCTGGAACATCGGGCCTGGAACAGTCCATTAGCCAACAAAAGCACCGTCCACCATGTGCAGGCACCAAGCCTGGTGCACACGACAAGGGGGGCAATCACGAAGCTGTGTTTGTATCAGGAGCAGGAGGGGTCACACCGGGACTCTGCTGCAGGCTGGGCTTTTTGCAAGCGTGTTTTGCAGAGGCCTGAACATCTGAGGAGCAGGGCTCTGTGTTGCAGACTGAGTTTGATTATAAAAGGCAAGGAAAGAAAAGGTAGGGTGGAATCCAGATGGGCATGTACATGATCAAGGACTTCTAAAGTCTTTACTGTACTTGACCACGAACTTGGAGCGTGACTTTGGCAAGCTAGCTGATTCTCGGTGTCTGTATTCTTGTGAACTCACCCCATGACATGACTTTGATTTACTCTTCAACAGTGACTGAAAGGCCAGTAATGTAAATATTTGCTCCCAAGTCTAATTTTACTCACATGGTTAAGTCAAGCGATTTGGTTTTACTTACATGAACTTGAATGGGATTACTCACTTGAGTAGTTACTCATAAGCACAAGCCTTAGGATGGGACCAAGAGACACAACAGCACTACAGATTTGCCTTATCCCATTAGGGACAGTTAGAAAAAAAACTGCCTTACCTGACGTTTTCTCTGTGAACACCACCTTGGACTCTGCTGTGAAATTTTGTCCGGTGAGGATCATCTGTTGTCCTCCATAAACGAGGCAGCTATCAATATCTTGTCTTTCAACCATTGGAAGTTCATGGGCAGACCTTTGGGCTGTGGACAAATTGTAGAAATGAATGAAACCAACTCTGTTTTACCAGGACTTTCCAAATCTTCCCAGAACTATCCACAGATCGATCTTGTCATCGTTACCGTCTGTTGACTGCCAAGGCAGCTTCTCCAGGGTGCTAAATTTAGGTTTGAGAGGGAAAAATAAACTTACTCAAGGCATTTTATTTGGAAACATTCAGGAGCTGGCTGCAGTGCTTCAGCTGTGCTGGCCTTACTCCTTGTCCTTGAGAAAGGACAGCTTGGATGAATGAGCTGGAACTTGACCATCTCTGTTTCCAAATAAATGGCCAAATTTTCAAGTGCAGGCACACTACAGCCCTGGCGCCCAAAAATTCCACCTGCAGAGAGGATTCCACTGAATAACACTGAAGTCCTCCAGAAAAAAAAAAAAAAAGCAAAACCCTTCTACAAAAGCCCACCACCTCCTACAGAAGAGGCCTGGAACATCGGGCCTGGAACAGTCCATTAGCCAACAAAAGCACCATCCACCATGTGCAGGCACCAAGCCTGGTGCACACAACAAGGGGGGCAATCACAAAGCTGTGTTTGTATCAGGAGCAGGAGGGGTCACACCGGGACTCTGCTGCAGGCTGGGCTTTTTGCAAGCGTGTTTTGCAGAGGCCTGAACATCTGAGGAGCAGGGCTCTGTGTTGCAGACTGAGTTTGATTATAAAAGGCAAGGAAAGAAAAGGTAGGGTGGAATCCAGATGGGCATGTACATGATCAAGGACTTCTAAAGTCTTTACTGTACTTGACCACGAACTTGGAGCGTGACTTTGGCAAGCTATTCTCTCTTTCCCCAGCCAGAAAACCAGGATAGAACCATCTCTCCACCTACTTTCCTCTCATCCCATTAAAACAGCCATTTGCATGGTCAGGAAAGCTTTGGAGAAGCCTGGTCACCATCCCTGCAAGCCCATTCCAACCGTTTCCTAAGAAGCGGCAGGAGCTGAAGAAAGTTAAGATGCGAGAACTGTTCCCTACAACACAGACAGCTGGAAAATATCATGAGCTTCCCTGTGACCAGACCAGGTGGGCAGCAGTTTGGGTCTGGTGAACTGCGAGTTCATGACCTGCACTCAAACTCCTCCAGATTCATCCACCCCAACTGGAAAGGCCTCCAGAGGATGCTGCTCATCTATTTAACAGCTGCCTTGGCTGGATTTTAACTTTCTCTGACAAAGAGCCTGCTCCCAAGAGACCCTGAGCACTTGTGTCTTCCCTTCACTGAACACCGTTGGCTGCTGAGCCAAAAATAAGGAAATGTTATCCTACATGTTCAGCACCGGTCCTCCGCTTGCACGCAGGCAAGGCTGTGCTTTCTGTGAGCTGGTCCTGGCACCCTTTTACTGCTGTGCAACCTTCAGAAAGCCAAAAACCCAACAGCTCTTGGCCACGGTGAGAGCTGTGCAGGTTCTCTCACCACATGAAGAAAATGCTATTTGGTGGGAAAACACAAGTACTAAACCTCTCAGACAGGTGTCTGTAGAAGAGGGGAGCAACTTTTCTAGCAAAGACAAGCTCTGCTGAACTTTGAACCCTTTCTGCCAGGCAAGACACAGAGTTTTTGCTCTTGTTAAAAATACAGATAATTCAGTATTTATAACTTTCTTGTGCCATTTCAGAGGCGTTTTTCAAAGTCTATTTAAAACAACCTTATGACTCATTGTTCCCTTCAAATATATAACAACAGCTGGGCTAAGATGCTGCCAATTAAGAATATATATTCAGATTATTTTCACAGAAGCTGCTAATTTCTTTCACATGGCTGTATGATTAATTCCTTTCCTTAAATACTCAATTTTTTTATGAGTTCATAACTGGATTTATCACAAAGACAGACTTGTAACCTCAAAGGCTGAAGAGTAAATAGCAATCATCAAAACCACATCTACAATAGTCAAGAGAAAATGTATTTAAGCTTTGCCCTGGACACCGTTTATTCCTATTCAATCCCCAAATTTCACTTCCAGAGCTTCCCAAATCATCAAAATTCCAGATTCACCTATGTCTCCTTCAGACTTCAGTGTATTAATAGAGAGCTTTGTACCTGACATCCCACAGATCAGTGGTTCTCAAGGCTTTTTCAGGACGAGGAAGGACAAATTTTAGCCTGGAAATAACCGTCTGACTCATCTTAATTACACTTGGATCTCGGCGAGTTGGAAATCGCTGCTGAAGACCAAGCCTCTGTCCAACTTCCATAGAGCACAGTGTTTGTGTACGCTGCGACCTACCAGGGAGCCGGGGAGGACAGCCGGTTCACCGGGAATGTGCATCCCGGCGCTTAGGAAACGCCAAAAACCCTTCTGCCATCCTCAGCTGAGCTGGGGCAGCCTCAGCAGCGCTGCCTGGAAGCCTGTGATGGGCAGCGGTGTGTTCTGCAGGTACCCCGATGCAGCTCCGTGCCCCCATGGCCAGCAGCAGCCAGGCTGATGCTGAGCTATGTTCAGGCATGGCTACAGCATGAGCAGGCTACGGGCATCTCCAAACCTGCTTTCGCCCTGACCCAGGCTTAGTCACCCCTGTAGGTGTACAAAACCCATGTGTGCTTTATACGTGCTGCAGAATAACACCATTTGGAAGTGTTTCAGTTGAGTTTCTCAATGCAGAGAGTGTGCTAAAGGGAAAAAGGTGGAGGCACACGGGTACCTACTGACTGCTGGGTTTCCTCTGCCCCCTTCTGCCTGCACTCTTCACCTCCCAATAGGCAGTTTGCAAACCCTGTTCTAAAAAAAAAAAAAAGCACTTTTCATTTTCCAAGATCCATCTTTTTTTTTTTTTTAACCCAGGCCTATAGGAAGGTTTCACCCCATTCCCCATTTCCACCAGTAAGGAGGCTCAAGGTTCAGTGTGGTGCTGCCTCAATAGGATTACTTTTTTTCCTCTGCAAGAAATATTAATTGCCAATAAATCCCCTTCCTCTAAAGCTCATGATGGGTGGACTGCATGCAATAATTTCACACTATTCCTTCTCTTCCCCCAGGGGTTGGCACTTCATAAAGTGACCTACAGCTACTGGAGTTTATGAGCTTTGTATAAACAAAACGCTGTTGATTTAACCAGTTGGGGTGTTTACTTTCAATAGCAACAGTTACTGACATAAGGCAGCAAAGCAAATGCTATAGAAATACTCACGCTTGGCCTGAAGCAGTGTGTCAACCTATTAACAGGGGACATTATTTTTCTATTTTATTTGACTGACTGCAAATCAAGATGTCATGGATGCAGGGTGCCAAGAAATACAATGCACGCAGCGACACAAGAGAAAAAGGGAGCTGCTGTCTTGGAGCGCTGCACCACCTCCAGCAAGCCTCAGCCTGGGAGGGAAGCAGCCCCTCTCCCGCCTCCCCTGCCCGCACCGCCCGGCAGCCTGCTGCTACCCGCAGCCCACCCGGGCTCACGTCCACCCACTGCAGGGGCACGGGGCGCTTCTCGGGGGCTGAGCCTTCATCCCCTTCCCCGTGCCAGCAGGTGGAAGAAAGGGAAAGATGGCCTAAACCTCTGGCCCTGCTTCACAGGGGATGCACAAGCCTGGAGGCCGACCGTAAGGAAGCATGCCAAGGCAGGGCGAAGGTGTTTCCTGCCTCCCCACCTGCCCCCAGCATCCATAACTGTTCCTTTTTCAGCAGAGAGGCTATTTGGTTTCTAGGGAAAAAAAGGGATATTTTGAGACGACTGATTACCTGGATAAGTCTGTTGTGGCTCCAAATCTCACCCAGGAGAGTGTTGCCCATTGTTGCTAGCAGGTTCCAAGTGACAACCTCAGTTGTATTCCCTAATGTGCTCCTTAGGTGATGCCAGCTCCACCTGAGAGCCCCTTTCCCCCACCACCCAGCTCTCCCCATCAGTGCTCCTCCTGCATATATCTCCTGGGACAAGCAGTTCTAGCCCTGCCTGAGCATCGTGTTTCCTTCCACCGGCCTGGAGGGCTTCCAAGCACTGCCTTGTCTTGCCCAAAAGCTGACTTGTTTTATGAGGAGTCTTAACTGAAGCTAAATGTCTCTTAGCAGCCTCCAGAGAGGAACTGTCTTGGCACTCTCTCTCCCTGCATGTGCAATAAGAGTGAGGGCTGGATCGAGTAATGTGGGCAAAGCAAAAACACCAATGTGATCTGCCTCTTGCGACGAACAGGCCTGTGAACCCCGCACGGAGCAGCACAGGTCTGACCATCGCTTACTCTACATCAGCACTTACAGATACTCTACAGCCTCTGTGTAGCAGTGCGCTATCTCAGTGCCTTCTTCCGCAGGGTGGCTGGAAGCCTCCATGCAAATGGCTGCATTAACAGAGGCCAAAGAATAGCTGCTAGAGTGAAATCTGCTCCACACCATCTTTCTGTCACCCGCAACACTGGATCCAAAGCTTAGGTTTACCTGTTGTCCCTGTTACCAGTTCAGGAGGGATCTTATCCTGGGCAATCACAGGGAGCAGGACTGAGGCTCACCTGCAGCTAGAATAATCTCTAGTTACCTCTAACTGCCATTGCAAGCCAAGTAAACCAAAAAATGTGGCTATTTAAAAGACATGGGGTCATGACCTACACCCCCAGTGCAGCAGTCTCTCCAGGCCAAATGTCCAGGTCCTTCTTCGGACCCCCCTGCCCTTACCCTGTGCAGGGCAGCCCCAGCTCACCCCAGCTTGCTGGAAGCCTTCAAGCCATGACTCACCACTCCTAACTTGTCTTTCCAAACCCCCAAAGGCTCCTGGCTCCAGCCACCGACTTCTATTGGATTTGAGAAGAGCAGATAGAGCTGGATGTGTGATGCTAAAAAAAATCCCAAACCCTAGAAGCAACAGCAGAGGTGTAATTTGTTGTGGGATTAATTCTTCCACCTCAGTGCAAACCTTAATGAGCCAAAGTCAATATCTCATTCCTCCTGTCACACTCTGTTTATCTACCACGAGCTGCCTGCCTGAGGTAGGATTGATAGGAGCAGAGCTCCTGTGCCCATTGCATATCCAACGCATTAATGTCCCGA